CAACAGGGATAAACGAGGTAGAAAATGAATGGATGGATATTATAACACCCCAGTATCTTTGTTGCATTTAACAGGGTAAAATCCTTGTAGAAATGTATCCTATATAAAAGCCCAGGTAGGGATACACTACTGTTTCTGTTTAACGGTTACATCTTGAAGAATTTTTTGGAGAAGTGATTGTATTTTTTTTTATAGTGAGTCACTGTTACATGATACTGTAACATCTATCCTTCAATTGTCAATTTCCCCTTTTTTCTTGCAGGGTTTCTTAAGGTTCTTGAACCTATCTCTCGTAATCATTGGATGAGAATAGATGTGTGGTACACCCTGAGAAAGATCTCTGGTCTATCACATTGTAGCATAAAATGTGACATTTTATCAAAAAGTACTTTAAAATTTACACCAAGCCACACCAAGGTGCTGAACTGTACCATAAAACATCTGACTACATAGATAAATTAAAGGGAGTAAAGCCGGGATGCGATTTTCAGGGCGATTTTCCAGTTGTGTGAGAACTTTTTGATCGGGCCGACTTTCAGCCTGATCGTGCGTCATGTAGTGTACAGGAGGTAACGAGGGGCGATCAGTCTCTCACGACCACCTCCCGATCAGGAATCATGTTTGATTTTCTCCCGGCCATCGTGGGCAAATCGCTCAGTGGGTATGCGCAAACTCTTTTTCTTCTTCCTCTCAGATGCAAACACAGGTGCATGGCGGGGATGCAATGAGTGAAATGGAGTTATTTCTGTAAAGTTGACAAACCGTAGTAGCCACGTCTGTTCAGCCATGTCTTTGTCCAAATACGTCGTCGCCTTTTCTTTTTAGGGCGTTTAGCACAAAATTGCACAAGTTGCCATGGCAGCACTCTAGTGAGCTTCATATTTCTCTTCTATTTGTTTGGCTTCTGGATAGACGAGTCAGAGCAGCTCCATCTCGCTGCGGAGCTGAGTCGGACGTGGTTTTTAGACGTGCTGTGTTAGCAGGTAGATCGCATCAGAGCGTCGTGCTGCACATACATCGTGAGCTGTGAACTCACACTGTACGCTAAACCCTGTGATTTAATCATACAGTTTGAGCTGCAGCTGCGTGCAACGATTGAAAAAAATCGCACAGCTTAAGCTAGTAAAAAAAAACAGATAAACAAAAGAAAGAAAAAAAAACACCACAATTGGAGTTGCAGTTTGCCCTGCAATGGAATGGAAACCTGTTCAGGGTGTAGCCTGCCTTTCACCCATAGACTGCAGGAGATAGGCATTGGGCCTCACTGTGACCCTGACGGAATAAGCAGAAGAGGATGGATCAATGGATGGAAGGACAAATGGAAGGATGAATGGAATTTCAGTTTACATAGGAATTCCCTTTAGAACTTCTTACAATTTACTTTAATGGGACTTGATATGTATTGAAGTGAATCAGCGGTCACTGTTTAATTGCTGCACATTTTTACAAAGACAGCATTTTTTCCCTTCTCAGCCACAAGAAGAAAACACTCCATGATACGGAAATTGATGTCTTAATGGCTATGGTTTAGACTTTAAAGTTGAACATTTTTACCAAAGATCAGCAAAGTTAAATGACAGATCTGGGGCAATTATGTTTCATTTTCAAAACAACTAATTCATGCTTACAATTTGAATCTTATAAAGCACAGACTTCCATTTCAAACATTTCCAGGAACTTAGAAAGTAATGCTCTTACTTTTCTGAGTAAAATGAATCACTAAATTTTATACTATATAAATTAATCAATATCTTATGATTAAAAAAAGACGCAAAGCTGCTTTGTTTGGTCACCTTCTACAGTGTCACACAAGCTTTATGATTTTTTATTTATTTTTTAGAAAATACCTGCAGTTTCAAGATAAGTTGCTCTACTTTTACTGTTTGGACTAATTGCATATAAGTTATAATGTGCAATTACTGTGAAAGAGTCATCAATAAGGACTTGCTTCTAAAATCCTTAATTACTATCATCCTGACTAGAATTAAATCTTTCTTTCCTACACCGGTAGTATTGTATTGGTCTGTTTAGAAATCTATTCTAGTTACACATATCTACAGAGTTTGAAGTTGCTAAACATTTTTAAAAATGAGACCATCTGAGATTATTGCTCTATCGCTCTTATTCACTTCTTATAATTCCATTCTGGACTCCGTTTAAGGTAGGTTTAGATCTGTTTCACCAGGTGGTTGAAACTGAAGCAGCAAGACGTTCTACAGAGAAAGACCCTCTAAGCTTCAGCGGATTTTACATAAACAGACTCCGCAGTGGACATCATGAAATAAGAGACTCTGAAAAAGATTTTTTAACAGGGATAATGTTCCAAATCTCTTAGTAAGAACACATCTTTAAAATAACAGAGGTTCACATGTTTCTGACCAGAGAGGTTATCATCGTTGTTTGTGTTACACACCTCCCCTTGTGGCACTCATTAATCACATTTGTGTTGGAACATTAGGATCAAAGGGCTTTAGCTCTGTCTTGTTGCTCTCATGGGTTTAAGAAAATAAAGTTTCAACATTAGAATACAATCAGCCAATCAGTCCATAGTTGAAGTGACATCATTGATTTATCACAAAGTAATGCTATCAAAGTCTCCCTCTAATTAACTGAACAATCCACTGCTCTCAAACTTTGGTCCTGTGTAAATTGGGTGTCTGTAAAAATAAAACAGTTTAGTTAGCAAAGCAGTCTTTCCACATAGGCAGACACAGTTTGTAAAGGCCAAAAAACACCTACAGCAAGTAGAACCAAAACTATTTAACGTTTCTTTGATTGGCAAATGTTGACTTTTATATTTTTACTGCAAAGCACCAGAGCTTATTCATGTTTCTCTATCAACTAGTACAAGAGATCCTCTCAGCAATGCATTTAACTCTTATTTATGGATTTGGTGTGTGTTTTTTTGTCGTACTTGTTTTTGCAGCTAAAACAACAACAATGTTCTACAGCTCTAATTACAGCTGTTGAATAGCCGACATGCCTGACTAAGAATTGGCATGTCTAATGGGAGTATAATCAAAGTCAAAACACAGCCCATGGAACATTTGTGTAGCAACACAACTGTTTACTACTCAGGAAGTTGTGCTAGAAACCATAATTTAACCATAAACCTTGTGTTATATTATTTAGATCAATATTAGAAAACCTATAAATTACTTTTCTATTATGTTTTTGGACAAAACGTCAATTATTATTTATTTTGTGTAATTTACCTCATATGTTCTGTATCTTTACTTAATTGTCTATGGTGTTTTCTGTTTAAATCCTCCTTTTTTAAAGTTGGATTGCCGTCCCCCACGCTTAAAGGTGTGCATAATGACATGCGGTCACTTTATTTCTTTCAGAATCACAATTGAACAGCTTTGAACAGGAGATTAGTGTAAAACAGTCAATTGTGTTTGAGGCAGTTGTGTAACCTCCCTGTAGTGATACATGTGAATGCTGACAAATCATTTGAATTAAAATGTGGATGTGAAAAGCTGTTTTACATCCAGGTGTCACACATTCACTTTGGTTCTGAACTGATCTAATGACAAATAGAGTTAACAGAAACCTGAAATAAAGAGCACCAAAGTGTTAAATTGGTCCCTTGAGTAAAGAAAGGCAATTTTAAGACACAACAATTTATAAAATGATGAATTATAAGAATTACGGCAATAGGAGAAAAATAAATCCTAAATGACATCTTTAAAGTTACATTTTTTTTTTCATTAGTGGCAAATAATAAATAAATGTCATTAATGTAATGTAAACTTTGTCATTCACGTTGCAAATATTGAAAACTGTATTCAATTTTTTTGTATAGTATTAGATATTTCTATTGCTGTTAACAAATGCAGTGAATAATATTTTTCTTCATCAATCATTATGTTCCTACAGTAAATAGACACATATTGTATGGATAAAAACTTTTTTTTTGATCTCTAGCAAAACAATCATTACATGTAAGGGACAAATTAAACTCTTCAACACAAAGATATCAGTCCTTACTATTATACTGAATATTTTATATCAATAACTGCATCAATGAAGGCCCCTAATGAAAGGAAGCCTTGCTTCAACTCCACTTCCAGTGCTTATATGAACAGTCACTGATGTAAAACTGTCCAGCACACTTGATAGTGAATTTTCAAGCAAAGCCAGACACCTTTTTTTTTTTCACCATATTTTTTCCTTCAACTAAATTTTCCTCTAAAATGCCTGGATGACAGCACTCTGTGCTGTCTTTAGCAATGCGGTTTTGTTGTAGTTGACCATCATTATGGAGGGTGCTAATGATTTTCTAATGAAAAAAAGACACTTTAGTGTAGTTTTAAGCTATATCACTAAAACCTGAAGTGATAAATACTGCTCCCCCAATCTATGTAATACATGATTCAAGTTTTTTTCACTGAATTATAAAAGAAAGTTATTATCCTGAGATGAGAATGAATAGACAAAGCAAGCTGTCCAAAGGGGAATATATCATTCAATAAGTAAAATATGCATACTTTGATTAAAAAAGGAAGAAAAAGATGTAAATTTAAACGTCTCTTTAAATTTCATACTTTTAATAGCATAAAAGGGGGAACATTTTTTAATTGTGGGAGGATGGTTTGCCCTTTCTGTATGGTGCCACTGATTTCTATTCTTCTCGCTTTTTCTAACTATTTAACTTTAATTCTAGTTTCCAGTTTTATGTTGTGCTGAAGTTTTTTTCCATATAAAAAGAATGAGCTGTGAGGTTTTCTGACAGAAAAATGATTCGGACAAAAAACAAATCTTTGGCAGGATTCATGCATCCTGCAGCAGGTTTTAACTTTCACCTTGTTATTTCCGTGTCTCGGGTCAGCGCCACCACGCAGCTCGCTCAGAACTTCGGACGCCGTGTCGGAGGTGGCATGTTGCGTGCGAGGACGCGGGGATGTGTGCAGACACATCACCGTCACGCCACGAACGCGTGCGCGCGCAGAAGCAGCATGGGCAATCACTCACCGTCCCCCCTCCCTCCTCTCACCCCACCCGCTCCTCGCGGAACGCCAGCAGGGACCTGGGACTATAAAAACCCTCAGCCTCAGTCCAGGGAGTACTGAGCAAGCTCAACCTCCAGGTGAGTGATGCAAAGAAGTCCCGCAAAAATAGATCCTTCTGTTGGACATTCTCTGGTTTTATGACATTCAGCTCCAACCTTTTGCTGTGTCTGACCTCTTTTTGTTTATTTTGTAGGTCTATCAGTACATTCAGCAACCATGAAGGCTGTAGCTCTGATCCTCGCGCTGGTGGTCATCACAGGTAGGTTTGATGTTGCTCTCCAACTTGAGGCAATGATGCACATTTTTTCCTTTTTAAATATTTATTCATGCTTTCTGTTTTTGTCCATCATAGGCTGCAATGGCCGTGCTGTGCCCCAGGCTGATATGTCCATGAGCCGCCTGGAGAGCAATGTGAACAGATTCCTGGAGCACATCACAGAGCTGAACCAACAAGCCACTGGAGTCCTTCAGAACCTCAAGGTCCCTGAGCTCAGTAGGGAGTTGGAGTGAGTTTGCTTTTGTTGGATATAATGATACCTTAACATGGCATGTTCTTCTCTAACATTGACTCACAATTTTCTCGATGTGTGATTCAAATAGAACTGTGATCACTGATACCATGAGTGAGTTAACAACATACAGAGATCAGGTCGAGAGCAAACTGGCCCCCTACACTGCCACCTCCACTGGTCAGATCACTGAGGACCTGCAGCTTCTGGCTAACAAACTGGAGAAAGACATGACAGACGCAAAGGAGCGCAGCACTCAGTACCTTACTGAGCTGAAATCCATGGTTGAGCAGAACACAGATGATGTCCAAGGTCGCATCAATGCCTACATTACCAAGCTGAGGAAGCGCCTGACCAAAGACACTGAACAGATCAGAGAGTAAGTTGGGTTCAAGCTCTTTGCATCTCACTCTTATTTATCGGAAATATAAATTATCCTCTCTCTTCTTTTCTTTCTTAGAACTGTGGCCACCTACATGGGTGAGATTCAGTCCCGCACCAGCCAGAGCGTGGATTCCATGAGGGAGAATGTTGAGCCCCATGTCCAGCAGGCTGGTGATGCCACCGCTCAGAAGCTTAAAGAAATCACTGCTGTGCTGGAGTCTCAGGCTGAGACCATCAGAACCCAGCTGGAAAGCGGCATTAAGGAGCTCAGCAGCTCTGTCGACAGCAAGCTTGAGGAGCTGACAGAGATGCTCTCCCCATATGCCACCCAGGTCCGCGAGCACCTTGAAAACACCATGCAGAAGGTCAAGGAGAGTGTCAATGCATAAAGAAAAGTTCCATTAAAAGTTTCAAAAGATTGCTGGTATTACAAGAAGTAATGAATTGCTTATATCTTGATAAGGAAGGAAAAGGAGTAAGACAAAAGTTACTGATGATGTACATTCTGTGCTCTTATATTCAGGGTAGAAGGTGTTTACTAGAGAGAAGGTAGATCATCTCCCTTCTTTAGTCTCATGTGCACTCCATTTACACTGAATGCAAGTATTTCAGTCAACTGTTTAACTTACAGCAAACAAGACAGACACTTTCTTAATGTTTTGCTTTTTTTTACTCTACTGCTGTTTATCCTCATTAGTTTTGCATTCAAAGTTTGTTTCCCTTTTTTTTACGATTTTGCTGCTGGGTTTGAATGCAAAAAAAACCACAACTGTCTTACATTTCAATAAATGCACTGAGTAAATTTTCACACACAACAAAGTGTCTTGATCATTTATTTTCCCAAAAGCAGAAATTAATTTGCAATAAAAGTGCTTTATAGAGCTTTGAGCTGTTTTCATAAAATAATGAAAAATTACCTGATTTCTTATTCAGTTGATATTGCCCAAAATGCTCCCTGTTCTTTTAAAGGTGAGCAGTGCTCCTCTGTCGGTGTATCCTCCAGGTTTGATTGAATCAAAACACTGCTTTCACTTTCAAGGGTTGTTTAAATATGATGTATTATTTGTGGTTACATAGATCCAGCTACACACGTGTCAAAGTGGTAGCAAATGAACTACAAATTTTCAACAGGCCTTTTCACTTTTATGTGTCTTAATTAGATAAAAACAGCAACCTCCCATAGATGCATCTCATCAGATTAAGATGATTGTGTTAAAGCAATCAAATAAGCATTTTCTCTGGGTGAGCAGTTTAGTTTATTTTGTGTGTGTGTAAATTAATACTTCCAATAACTGCATTAGTGTATCTTTGCTGACCACTTGCCCAACCCCTGTTGCACAAGAGTGTGCTTAAGAGCAAATGTTGTCTTTTTTAGATTAAATCTAAGATAAAATCCCAGGAGGTGTTTTCTTTTTTCTGTTTTGCCTTCCAACCTACTTTTGGATCTAATTCCCAAACCAACATCCTTAGCCTATTTTTTGTGTCCAGTCCAGACTTGTTGAGATTTGCTTTCATATTCCTTATCTTGAGCCTAGCGGGTATTTGGGAACAAGCCGTGCCACTTACAGTGACATTGTACCAGTCCCACATTTGTCTTCTCTCCTGCAGGTTTGAACAGATGTTCCCTGCAGATCAACAAGTGCACTGGCCCATTCATGCTCTCCTTTCTCTCTAGAGTGAGATCGATGGTTGCATGTCATGCCATCTCTTATTTTCACGAAATTACTGTGCCTGAACATGATCATTCCGTTATATAACAGGATGTGAACATTTCTTGGCATGTATTCAAGGCTTTTTATTGGTTACTGCTGTGCTTAATGCATATTACAGGAAAATAAGCACTTGCACCTGCTGATTTTGATAACTGCTTTATGTCTGTCAAACGCAGCAGGGGTTTCCCTTTGAAGTTCAGAGTGGCAACCAGTAGGGGACACACAAACCCCCCTTTACTGTCCAAAATCAGTCCTCTGTCCCCCCCTCTGTCTGGATAAGGGCTGCAGAAAGCTACAGCTGTGTTTTCTTTGTTAGGGTGTTGGATGAACTATATAATCCTCATGAAGAAAAGACACAAATGAAAGCTTCATAAGATGGAAAAGCTTGACTTAATAAACATTTAGGTATTGCATTTGATTTTTTAAGAACCCTTCAAACATGATTCAAATGTGTTTTAAAATAGCTAAGATTGCCATAACCTTAATACTGTTGTATTTTTTCTTACATTTTTACATGTAATTGCACCATTTTACTCTGAAATCCTACACTTTAATAAAAAAAAAATCCTTGAAAGTTGCTTATATAGCATATAAATCGTAAGTGTGTAGTTTAACCTCAGTTTAAATACAGCTGTTCTGTTGAGGCCTCAGAAGGGGGAATTTGCAAGAATGTTACTGAACAAATAAAAGCTTCAAAAACCAATGAGAACAGAGGACAGATTAGGGTTAAAGTTGTGGTGCATCTGAAGCAAGGACAATAAAGTTAATTAAATATTTTCAAAAATCTTAAAATATCTAGGACTGAAGCACATCGTTTAATCGTTCTCAAACAATGGAAATAGTAAAGCTCAATTGAAAGTTATATTCAATTCATTATTGAAAATTTGAAAATAAATGGCAAAACTCCCAAGCTATGAAGACATTGCAATCAACATAAATTGTCAAGGGAGTCAAGGACACTGCAGAAGCAGCGATGACAATTTTGGAGAAGCTGTGCAGATCTACAAGTTGGGTACAAAATTCAAACAGCATAATTCCTGCACTCTCCAAAACAGATCATTGAGCAAGAGTGGTGTAATTGCTGGAATGTTGAAAGAAGACAAAACAAACAAAGGGAAGGGTGCTCTGGCCAGAAATGACTAGATTTAATTCATTAGATCTGACAGTAAAACCCTATGTTTGGAGGAAACCTAATACAATTACCTTCAGAAATTATAGTAAAACATGCTGGTGGCAGTTTTGTGAGGATGCTTTTCTTCAGCAGGGCCAACTAAGCTTATCTGACTTGATGGAAAGATGGAGGGAGTTAGTTCCATGGCAACCTGGTAAAAAAACAAAAAGTTTTTAGAAGTTGCAAAAGACTCGAAACTGGGGCACAGGTTCACCCTCCAGATGGACAATGACTCAATGCTCGATGGTTCAGCAGAGGATATCAATATATTGATACAAATATATTTCACATTTGTTGTATGTTTTATCAAAAGTTATAAAGATAATGTAGTATTTTTTATGCTTTAAAAATAGCATATATCTTTGTATTGGCTTATCAGAAGAAAAGCCTTCCTTCTCAAAAGCATTGATATGACAAAATGTGAAAAGCTCAAAAGAGCCTTAAAATGTTTTTAAGACACTGTTACAGTTTGTTTTAACAAAGAAGTAACCTTGGTTTGCTCTAAGTCAAGCTAATATGGTGGGATTCCAAAATAACTTTTAAAAACTGTGTTGTTTATAGGAATAGTTGATTTTTTTGTGCAATTTCTTTCTTAACATTTCATAAGGTTATGAAATAGATGTTTACAGGTTCTCTCTGTGTAAAAGGGCACTTTGTGCAAAGTCAAAGAAATGCTAAGTCAACGAGCAGCTGTTTGTTACTCATGAAATAACCTTAGGGAGTTCATGTTTATTTCCTGGCAGACAAGTGAAACCTAAGCTGTCAGTTGTTTGGAGGATTACTCATAAATGTTAAAAGAACAACAGGAAAACGAAAATTGGGCTGCTTGCAAAGCACTTCTGCTCCGTCAGTTCCTATAGGGTGTCTGCACTTTGAGAACTGCCCAGTGACAGCAACAGGCAGGAAAAAACATCAGAAAACATGCAGGTGGTAGCTAGTCCATGATTGCAAATAACTTCTAAAACGTTCTTGTGGTGCTTTTACCTCCTTATGAAATCCCTTTCTTCACTTCATTTTTTTCAGCGCTCTTTGTTTTTGGCACAAAACATTAGTCTCCACAGGGGCCTGTGCAAAAAACAAAAACAGGCCTTCCCTAAGCTCGTTATTACGAATTAGGTACCGGTAGATACCCCCTTTCACACTCAGTGTTCCCTGCAATTAGTTAAGAGAGGCTCGTAGGCACGCGAGGTTAGGCTCCTTAGAAGAACCACTTAATAACAAAAGACATGGAAATTTAGCATTTAAGCACCCTATCTACAATGCTAATAGATAAATTGTGTGCTTTTCATCATAACAATAAGCTGATCAGGATGTAAGTGCTCAGCAATAAATTGACCGTCGTCGTAAATACTGAAATACCAAAATTTAGATAAAGAAAGGTGGTTTGGTTGGTCAGGTATGATGAAAACCTTTAACCACAGGTTTCTGAAGTATGTCAACTGTATGCCTCTTTTCAGTCAGAACTTGAAAGAGAAAATAAGGTCAGATTTGTCTTTGCCAATTCTCCTTTTGCAATAGAAAAGGAATCCTCACCAGATAGAAAATGTGGCAATAACTTTTATAACTGGAAAGATCAATTAAAAACTATCAAAGTAAGGAAAAAGAGACGCTGGATCACCTTGCTTCTTCACAATTTTTTTTTTAAAGCATAGTAGCACTGCAATACAATTTATACCTTTTTAACATAATTTTGTTTCTGTAAAACTGAAATTGCACTTAGTTAGGTCTTTTTAAATGACATCATATCAGGTTATTTCCTTTATAATAAGGCATTATATTAATTATTCAGCTTAATAACTTCAAATCTCAACTATAATTTACCTAGTTGTTACACTTTTATCATGTATCTTTTTGTACATGAGAAGTTCTATCGTCTCTCTTAGTTTTGAATTTGATTCAGTTTATTTATTTGGTGCTAATTTACAACACATGTTGACTGAAGGTGCTTTACCGAGACAATTCAACCAGATCGATCTGATTGGTTCAAAGTTTTTGTATCTAAGGAAAACAAGTTGATTGCATTGACTCGATTGCAATCCCTCACACTAAGCATGCTTGCAGCGACAGTGGAGAAGAAAACCCCCTTTCAACAGGAAGAAACCTTGAGCAGAACCAGGCTCAGTGTGAGCGGCCATCTGCAGAGGCCGACTGGGGTTCAAAGAGACAGAAGCAGAGATACAGAAAGAAGCAGAAATACAAAAGTAAATAGTAAATTAGCTCCAGAGAAAGCCTTGTCCTACAAACACACAGCAATGCAGACGACCTTTGAGCCAGCTTCCATGTCAGAGGATGAAGGACAGCAAATCCAGTAAGTCACAGTCACACAGTAAATGTTGCAGTGTTAAAGTAACACTTTGAGAGTACATTTGGTCCCACACTAATTCAGTGGGACCAAATGTACTCTTGAGTGTTACTTTAACACTGCAACATTTACTGTGCAGATAGAATAGTTGATAGTTGATAATAGTTAATAGTTGACTTCACTAAAAACAGGCCAAGCTGGAACATCTAATAAAAAAATAGGCATTATTGCTCTCCAGGATGCTGAAACAGCCAAACAGGAACATACCAGATGTAGCTACTATGATGAGAAAAAGCAGGGAGAGCCTAATGTTTGAGATTTAACCAACAAATATTGAAGAATGGGAGAAAAGAGATGTAATGATGCAGAATAATGAAAAGGGGTCCCTATTGTCATGATGGGTTCTAAGTTTAAGCCCAATATGCAGAACACACACGGGAAAACTGGGTAAAAGTTCAAAGAGTTTATTAAAGTTCTGAACACAAGGTTAAAGCACTGGGACTGGAATTGGTCAGGGGCTGGTTCACTGGAGTCTTGACTGGGACTGGAGACTGTTGGTTAGCAGAGTTCATGAGAGGCTAAGCTTCTAGCTTCAGGCTTAGCGTGGCAGTCCTGGATTTGAGCTTCCAGCTCACTGCAGAGAACAACAGGGGAAAACACGAAGGACTCTAGAAACTGATTCCACGTAGGAACCTCCAGGGAAACTCCACACAGAAGTCTTCAGGTTTCAACCTCGTAGGAATCTTCGGGTTAGGGAACAACAGGGGAAAATCCACAGGGGAACCTCTAGGGAAACTCCACAAAGAAGTCTTCAGGTTTCAACCACTTAGGAATCTAGGGTTGGCTCACCAGGGCAGATTAGCAGGTTAGGTCTCCTAGAGCTTCAGGCTTGAAACTGGTTTCCTGTGATGCAACTCTCCAAGAGCTGCAGGCCAAAGACAGGTTGCCAGAGAGACAGCTCTTCCAGAGCTTCACGAAGAGACAGGAGGTTAAGCTCATCCAGAGCTTCACGAGGAGACAGGAGGTTAAGCTCATCCAGAGCTTTCACAAAGAGACAGGAGGTTAAGCTCATCCAGAGCTTTCACGAAGAGACAGGATTCCTGTGAGGCAGAGACAAGGAAGAGATAGAATCTGATCTCACACTAGAGATAACAAAGATTCTTCTATAACAGAGGCTCAGGAAGCTAACCAACTAAGATCAGTTTCTTGGTTGAATACTTGAGAAAATTCAGAGACAAAATCGGTGTAACGACAACTGAGGCTTTCGTCAGAGGCAAACCTTGCCTGAGCCCATTCCAGGGCTCTTCCTGTCAATTGGGACAGAATAAAAGTTATCTTTTTATAATCCGTGGGAAAACTGCCAGGAGAATTTGAAAAAATTAAACGACATTGAAACAAAAATCCTTTGCAGTCCTTCATATTACCAGAAAACTTCTCAGGTAGACTTAGGCGGAACTCAGATGATGACGTCACTGCCGGTGACCTCGGAGGCGGAACTGGACCCGGAAATGGTTGCGCTGCCGACGTGGCAGTAGCACTGCTCATGTAGTTAGCATAACTCTGAAGCATATGATTATGAGAATCGACCACACGATATAACTCACGGAAGGTTTGAGTTTGTCCCTGGATTTGAGCATCTTGCTCCTCCAATCGACGGCGGAGGTGATCTGCTGGGCCTTGTGTTTGGCCGCAGTGTTCTGTCATGATGGGTCACTGAAAGGCCCCGGATGCAGAACACCACGGAGACAGAATAAAAGTTTAACGAGTTTATTGTTCACAAAGCACATGGAAATAACACTGGTACTGGTTCAGGCCTGGGGGCTGGTTCACTGGAGTCTGTGTAGGAAACAGTTCAGTTAGCGTTGGATCACTTGAGTTTGATTCTGAGAGTTTCTGGTTTGTACCTTGAGAAGTCCAGTTAAGGCCTTGAGGGAGGAACTGTTGGGTCCAGAGATTGTTTGATTCAGCAGAGTCCGATAACCGCCTCAGCGTCTTACTTCTAGCGTGAGGGCAGACCTTGTCTTTGAGTTTCCAGCTCTTAGTCCAGAGCTGGGAATCCAGAGAAGAGTCTTCAGGTTAGGCTCAGAGGGCAGGCTCGGCAGGTTAAGGTTAAAAACAGGTTTCCTGAAAGCAGAGACAAAGGGTTAGAATCCAATCTGGATTCAATGGCAACAAAGGTTCTCAGAAGATACTAGGCTTAGGTGCTAACCAAACTGGATTTAACACTGCGGCGTCGAGGCAAGGTCTGAAGGCAGGTTATATAGTGTGGATCCTCTGATGATGAGATGCGCCTCAGGTGTGTCGAAGGCTCAGCTCAGGAGGATCCATGGCGGACTCTGCTGGAGAGAGATGGAACTTCTCCAGCTCCCAACACCTATGTCCTCCTGAAGTCTATAACAGCATAATTATAGAGATAACTCAGGATAACCTGAGCCACTCTAACTATAAGCTTTATCACAAACGAAAGTTTTTAGCCTTGCCTTAAAATTAAACGGGCTGTCTGCCTTATGGACTAAAACTGATAGTTGGTTCTACAGGAGAGGAAGCTGATAACTAAAAGATTTGCCTCCCATTCTTCCTTTAGAAACTGTATGAAATACTAGTACCTGTAGATTGAGAGTAAGATTGTGGCCCCCGATTGCTCCCCAGGCGCCGCCCACTGCTCCTCAAGAGGATGGGTTAAATTCAGAGGTAAATTTCTCCAATGTGAGATCAACACATTTCAATTATTATTATTATTATTATTATTATTATTATTATTATTATTATTATTATTATTATTATTATTATTATTATTATTATTATTATTATTATTATTATTATTATTATTATTATTATTATGTACTCTATAAGGAACATAAGGTACATTCAGATCTCTGATATAAGACAGATTTTACAGGAAGCTAGAATAGAAGAAATATAATCTCTCTTTTTAATTTTTATAAGACTTGGCTGCTGCATTTTTGAACATTTAGACAATTTGAGGACTTCCTGATAGTAAAGAACTGCAATAGTCCAGCCTTGACGCAACAAATGCATGGACTAGTCTCACAGTATCACCCCTGGATAAGAACCTCTGTGATATTGGATTTAAATGACATGTCCTGATAAAAAAAGACAACAAAACAAAAAAAAAAGCAAGATTTTTTACTTTATTATCTGAGATCAATATAATACCATCCCACTGAAGTGACAGCTTCTTTTTCCAAGGCTCGTTCAAAGACAATAACTTTTGTTTTTTACGCATTCAGAGCCAGAAAGTTAAGAATAATCCAGGTTTTTATTTCCTTAGACATGCCTGTAGTCTATGTAATAGGTTAGTTTCATCTGAATTTATAGACAGAAATATTTGAGTACCATCAGCAATGGAGTGGCGGCCAAGTGGTTAGGGCATAGAGCTTGGAATCCTAAGGTTCTTAGTTGGAGCCTCATTCCCACAGACTGCCACTCTGGGTCCCTGAGCAAAGATGCTTAACCCCACACTGCTCCCTGGATGCTGCATAATGGCAGTCCACCGCTGCCATGATGGGTTAAATGTAGAAAGTTCATTTCGTTGCTCTGTGCTTGTGACTGTGTATATGGATTTAACCTTTTTTCTGAATGGATACAGGTATTATGTTAGAAATCATGATGTGTTCTTTGGACAAATTTTTAAGAAGAGATATATAAATATATTATGAGAAAAACATTTAAAACTGAAGATAACTTTAATACATTTGACTTTATATGGAATGTTTTGTAGAATTCATGAGGGAAAACACAGGGGCATAGAAACAAAACTGGCTCTATCTATGTTGAGCCCTTAGTGTACAAAATAATCTTTCATATTGAAAATAATACATCCTGAAAAATGTAAAGTATTCTCAAGAAGCCAATGTAAAGATTCATGTTTTAGATTACAAACAACGATTATAGTGTAACTTAAAACTACTAAAGACTGACTGACTTTCACCAAAATCTTGCCAAGTGTTTCAAACTGTGCAGCCTTTTGACACAGAGTAAACTCTTGGGCAACTACCCGGGTCCAAAGTAGTTCACAAATAGCCCTTGTCTGTCAGCAGTAAACTCTGTTCCTCCACATCACCTTCCAGTTTATCAGTTTACACCACTTTTATCCTGGGGGTTTAGATGAGACTAATCATTCCCTGTCTCGTCTTTTTCTTCCCTTTTATAATGAATAATTATTTGCAGCCAATCTTTGAATCTGACCCAAAAAACAGACAAGGCTGATCACTTTATCAACCTCATGCCAGTTGTGCAACCTTTTACCTTTGGCAGGCCTGTTTCAACAGGGAGTTCTTTTTAATGTAATTAGATGAGTGCAGATCAATGAAATGGGCAGGCATTCTTCAAGGCCGTGTCTGCATGTTGACCTAAATCCAATGATTTGCATAACACTCCTGAAAGGAGGGAAGGCTTATAAAAAGCAGGGACACACTGACGACCCAAGGCACATCATTTTTTTTCTTCTAGGAGACAGAAAAGAGGTATGTTTTACATTTGATCACTTTTGAATAAAATGTTCTGTAACTTTGTAAAAAAAAAAAAATGGAAATATCATTAATCAAAATACAGTTATGTTGAAGCTTTTGCATTTTTAAATGTATTAAGACTAAACTATATTGTAGTTTGAAAAATGCTTGCAGTCTGTTAGGTCACTAAGGTACTGATAACTGTTTTTTTGTTTAAGCATTTGATCTAGGAAAAATATGGTTACCTTTCGTTAAATGCAAATAAAATTAATATTTTTTTCCTTTCCCCTTTCAGTGACAAAAAGCCAAGATGAGACTGTATCTTGCAGCTGCTGTCCTGTTGCTGGCTTTTGTTGCATACACAGGTTCTTCTTTTTGCTTTTATGATTTAAAGTATTAAACTGTATTTTTTGTTTTGGTTTTTTGCTATTATCTCTTATGACCATTGTCTTTGTTTTGTATTGTTTTAATTACCTGCAGAGGCTCAGGATGACTCAATCCAAGATAGGTTATCCACATTCAGGGATCAGGTCACTGAGTTCGGCAAGACTGTGGCTGAAAAGGCAAAGACCCATTTTGACACCATGAGAACCAGTGAATTTGCAGAGTCCACCAAGTAGGCCAACACACACACTGAACATATAAAACCTCTTTCTATTATTGTATGTAACTAAAATTACATTTCCATCCTCCCAGGAACTGGTTCACAGAGCGGTTTCAGCAGATTAAGCAGAAGATAGATGAAATCTCTCAATGAGCTGATGAACCAGTCGAAGACCTCTGCCCTCAACGGCCACACTGCCATGGCAGCTGACCTGCTGCAACATCTAAAGGCTGAAGTCACATTGCTCAACAAAATGGACAAAACTAACCTCTATTGTCATATTTTTGCCTATTATCATTTATGGAAAAACTGTGTAAAAGTGCAATAAAACACATGAAATAAAACCAAATCTTTTAATACCATTTCATTTCTTTGAAACGATGGACTTTGATATAGTTTGAAACATTTTACCAAAATGAGGAAATAAAAAAAATTGCTAGCCAGACACCTAAAAACAAAAGTGATAAAGTTGGCAGACAAATTATATTTTGAACCCGAGTCAGTAGATTTGTTGCTTCTAAACTGCCGTAGTGAAATGTAAACAAGCTTAACATACAACAAGCAGTAATGTCATAGACAGTTTTATATAAACCCAATTTAAAATAACAGAGATCCTAAAATTGATTAAATGGCTTATTTTTGGCCAAATTGTATTGTTTTTGTTTTGTCATCTATAAGTTAATAACAATTAGAGCAAAAAAAAAAAAAAACTAGTTAAGAGTGGCAGAGATCCATTTAAAGAGTTTTACAAATAAAACATGAGAACTTAAGTTTGCACTTGTATTTTGAATTTTCCAGTTTTATACCACATAACAAAATCTAGAGCAAACATTATAATTTCAAAGTGATAAGTCAGGGAGAATCGTGCGGAGAGTGTTAGAGCAGAGTTAGGTCATAGAACAAAATGTTAAGCTTTTGATTTCCTTTTTCTGAATTGGAATGTGTGGCAAAACTGCAAACCTTTCCAAACAGGGCCGTCCATATGAAGTGAGACACAACAAATAAGCACTAATCAGATGAAGAGACAAGAGGCCCAGCATCTCTAGAGGAGCTGTAGAGATCCACGGCTCCTCGAGATAAAGAGAACCTGAACTGTGTTTGGTCTGTTTTGATCCTTCAGATGAGCTTTAAGAATTGGCAAAGTTATCTTTTTCTAAGCCTTAAACTTTTATGAACTTGAAAACTTGAAACTTGAAAATGTTGCACTGTGCAAAGGTCATCATCAGCGACTTCATTTACTGTGCAACTAAATATTCCAGACTGATCCTCCAGGGAAACATAATCAAGTTAGATCTGACATAGATGTCTTTTGGAAATTAAATGGATGGTTGTTTTTATGTTGTTATGTATTAAGTTAAGTTAAGCTTATGGGAGAGACGGCCTTGTGGTTAGGGCATTGCGCTTGGAATTCTGAGTTTCTGAGCTCTGGAGGTTCTGAGTGCTTGGAATCCTGAGGTTCTGAGTTCTTGGGCCACTCCAACGGACTGCCACTCTTGGTCCCTGAGCAAGACCCTTAACACATACACTGCAAAATGGCAGCCCACTGCTCCCCAAGGGGATGGGTTAAAACCAGAGTTCATTTTGTTGCTCTTTTCTTGTGACAGTGTGATGACAATAAAGCACTGTAAAACATTTGAAAAGTATTTTATGCAAATTATTGAAGGAATTAGGGGCAGAAATTGTGACAGAACATACATGCATGTCCAGTCATATAATGAATCTGGGTGATGATATGAGCACACCAATGTTTCCCCCATTGCCTTGAATAGGCTGTGTGGAGCTAATTACCTGCAACTCGGGATCCAAATTTCCAGTGTAGTAAACTGATGTTTCATTCACGCCCCAACATTGTTGTTACAGAAAGTTGCAGCTGTTTCAGTAGTAGTCGTGGATGAAGAAGACTAAAGCGAACACTAGTTTCTTATTTTCAAAATGATACTCATTGCTGCCATGAAATATTTGTGGTGGTCTTGTACCAAACCTTCCCATAGTAGACAACATTAGAGCATCACCAGCGCAGTGCTGTGAATACAGCCTGTCAGTGAAGGGTTTCTGCCTGTGCCAGCTTGGCTGATGGCTGCAGTTACCCGTGGCACCAGTTGTGTCACTTGTAAGTTTCATTTCCTCATCCCACATTTAAAGTTCCACTATGTAAAGGTTAAGGACGAGCATGAGGACAAAGAGACGGCTACTAAAACATTTATACCTGGGAAAAGGCCTGTAAGAATTAGATGTGTGTTGCAACCTTTGGCACAGAGTATGATATTCCTAGAAAAATTCTAACACTGTTGAATGTTTGTCTATTTTGCCATTGGTTTTTTTGCACTTTAAACCCAACAGATTTGTGTTTTACACTCATTGAGCAAAGACCAGTGATTTTTTTTCATATAAACAAACTCTTTTCATTTATAAAATAACATTTTATTTAAAAAGAAAAGCACACAGAATTCACTTGGTTTTATTTGTGTAGCCCACATCAGTTTTTCACTTCATATAAGAATAAAAAGATTTATATTTGTAAACATCAAATTGAGTCCACCTGTAGTTTGCCCCCAGCCATAAGGTGAACAATAAATATATGGACGGAAAACTCACGTTTTAAGCACCAAGCAAAATTATATGAAAAATTAACATTCTGAATCAGAACACCACTACAACCATGTAATTTATGGCATTGGAAGCATTGCGAAGGGATGCTTGTTTTCAGCAGGGCAGCAAAGATGGTCAGTGGTAATTATTGTAAATATGGATATATCTAGATTAGGGAATTCTTAGATGAAAACTTGGCAGTTTCATCACCTAATACCAGCCTTAAACATGCATTAAAACTTTAACAGAAAGGTTTAAACCTTTGAATTGTTACAGTAATCATAGTTCTCAGGAGCAGCTGTCGCATAAGTTTTGGTGTTTTCCTGCTGGAACACACCAGCAATCTGTAATCAGTTAAAGAAATCATGGAAATATCTAAAACAAAGTTGGTCCTAAAATCTCTGCTTCAAATTAAGCCATATTTATGTGTGATAACAGCTCTGTCAAAGTCCAAACCTAAATTCTTTATTAATCTGTATCAAGACTTTTTTCCCCTTCCATTTCAGTCATGCTTTCTTTCTGTTGGCCATTACATATATTATGTATTGTAATAAATATATTAATCTTCTATTTTTAAAGGCAAATGACGTAAGAGCACCTTAGAATACCATATTCATCTGGAATTAGTGCTTTCAGACTGTGGTACATCATGAAGACACAAAAGGAAGGACCACAGCTGAGATTCAAATCTAGCTCTAAATGCTGCACCATCATAATGCCATATTAAAAATGTCTAACAGATAATAAATAATTTCTGTTAATTATACGGAACAAAGGGTAAGTGCCAACATGGTAGCTAATCAGGGATTTCATAACCCCCACTCCTGTATAAAGTCGCTGTTTATGATGAGTTAATAAATCACCAGTTTGCAGGTTCAATGAAATCGTTTTCGTTGAAGAGAACAGAGTGACAGGGGTCAGGCGCTTGTAAGCAAAAGTCACAGATTATTGCCACATGGCGCCGACCTTTCCAGCTGAGATTATCACTTCGATATCTTGGTTAAAAAAAAAAAAGAAAGAAAGAAAAGTGCAAAATAGCTTTCTTTAAAACATAAACACATTGAAACAATATTTTTAGAGATTTTATTCAACAGATAACATCAGGATCTTCTTCAAAAAGGGAATTTGCTATTACAAATACTTTTATATAAACCCTCTGCACAGTGTACTTCATAATTGAAATTAAAATCTTGTTTTAAACAGTAGAAATATCTGAAATATTAAGCATTCTAGTTCCAATAGCATTTTAAGTGAAGGTATTTCTGTTTAGAAAAAGTGGAGGAAAAGCACCCCTACCTTAAGAGAAAACCAGATCAATATGTGGACTCTAGCCATTAAATTATCTTTTTGTACCAGTCTTAACTGACGTATGTATCTATTCTTTGAAGACTTTGGCTGGTCTGTGCTGTGAAACTTCAGCACTCACCAATTGAGGTTAGATAACTAAGCCAAAGGGCACATCTAAAGCTAATGTGAGGATGAAAGCAGTTAAGAAACTGTAGTTTAGCAAAAGTAGCATTTCCAAATTGAGCCAGAATCTGCATCTGCGTACCTCATCTCATAAGTATTTGATACTTTACAGAATGCAATAAAGGTTTATGAAAATACTTAGACTTTTAAATCCTCAGAATGTTAAATATCTGTGACGCTCTGGTGATTTGGAAACCAACCATGGCTGTGAATGTTTGCAGATTTCATATTAGGTTGTTTTTTTTTTCTCTGTGGTTATAAGGAAGCAGAGAAAAAGTGGAGAAAATAGTTCCATCCTGTGAGTGAAAGAAGTTCAGAAGTGTTGCTTTGTTTTCATACTTTGATTTGGCAATAAATTATTGAAGCAGAGAACAAAAAACAAGACAGAGTTCATTGATCGTCCGGTAAGGACCAATGTCCACACTCTTGCACTAACCTACGGTAATACAAATAAAGCAGCCTGATAACATTGGCTCGTTTAATTTCTGTTGATGAGAGACGGAAGAAATGGTAAAAAGGGATTTTTTTGTATTTATGTTTAAAATGATGTATAACATAAGACATATAAGAATGATTTTTATTCTTGAACCAGTCAAAGACAAAATCAATTATCTTAAAGTTCTAAGAAACTGTAGATAAAGATAAACTGACTGCAGATCTTTTTTTTTCTTTTTGCTCAGCACATGCGACTTCAGATAATCTTCATTTTCATGTTTCTCCTGCAAGGTACAAGTAAAAAAAAAAAAATAAATAATACAAATATCTCTTCAGTTTTTTTTTTTATGCATTGATTTGAATCTATTTGTTGAGTTGAATATGTTTGAACTGGTTTACCTGCAGCATGGAGACCAGCTTTGGCACAGACAGCTGAACCAGAGCAACCAGACTCAAGAGGAATTCTGGAGCGACTAGCAGAGAGAGCTGGGTAAAAAAAAAACAAAAAAAAACATACATACAGATAGATAGATAGATAGATAGATAGATAGATAGATAGATAGATAGATAGATAGATAGATAGATAGATAGATAGATAGATAGACAGACAGACAGACAGACAGACAGACAGACAGACAGACAGACAGACAGACAGACAGACAGACAGACAGACAGACAGACAGACAGACAGACACATTGTTTTTTGTGTGTGGTAATGTGTATAAAACTGCATAATTTTATTGTAAAGATTGGGAATGTCTTCCTCCTTATAGATTATTATTGGGGTTTGCATTACTTTTTGTAATTTTTAAATGTTCCATTTTAATTATGTATTTAGAATTACTAAAATACAAATAAACAGCAACTAAATAAAATAAACAATTGAAAATATGTAATTACCCTTTCAAAACTAGTTATGCTATCACTACTTGCATATCACTTGCATGAATCTTTACAAAACAGTTTTTATGTCATCCATAATGGTCGGTTTTAAAGAACCAGCCACCCTATTTAAGGCCAAGCTGCAGCATCTCAGTCAGATTTAACTTTGGCTGGGGCAATCTAAAGCCTTCATTATTGTGGTTATTTGAACCTTTACAGATAGACCAACTAGTGGGCTAAAGTTCACTCTCCTGCATCATTAAACTCTCATTGTCCTGCTTGAGCCAAATATGATTGATATGCTATTTGAATAAATTAGGTTGGCAGGGCACTTTTGGAGATGTTTGTGTTCTGTAATTTATCAGATTGTTAATGACTGATCTCATTGTATTTTGCAGAGGGGTTAAAGTTTTGTTGTATCTTATCTTTTGTTAATTTCTTTTGATTAGGTTTTAGATATTGATGCCATATATTCTAAGAGGTGTCCTAATTTGTTGATTCTAAAGGTGTGACTGGTGAAATTGTGCTATCTAAACTTTATGCAGAACCTCTAAATGATAAAAAAATTTATGCTTTGATCTGTTTAGGCAAGCCAGATCTAAAATCAAGTCTGTTGGGGAGACAGTGATGGGCTTCGCTGGTGCTTATTATGAAGACCATATCCAACCAGTGGCTGGAACCTATGTTGAGTGGGCCTCTAACATGAGAAATTCACTATGGGAGAAAGTTCGGACAGCAGTTGGAAACTACATGCCATCTTCCAATTAATCCACACCATCAAACACATAAAAATGAGAAAAGTTGAGATCATCAACTTTTTCTTCTCTTTTCTGTGATTTGCTCTACATTTCTACTCTTTTCCTAAGAGCCCGGTTAACTGTGAAAAATGAGGTTGGAATAAAATTAAACATAATTCAAACAACTTTGTGTCTTCAGTTGTCTGTATATGCGAAAGTGGAGACAAGACAAAAAACAAACAAATCCAAGGCTTTGTTGAGCTACTGTATAAAGCCTTGAACTCAACGCTATTTCTGATATTTTGAATTGAAAAAGCTTCCTTGACTAGAAGCGAAACGTCTTCAAACTTGGTGACAAAATCCAGTGGATTTTTTATTTTTATTTTTTTGGAACGACTATGACCTGGATGACTAAGAATCTTCACCAGCAGAAAGGGGAGAAGGCGTCAGAAAACATTAAGACATTTCTTCATTGCTTTTACAAGTTTTTAAACTACTAATTCATTGATAAGGTTCGTGAGGTGGGATTCTATGGTAAGGTCATAGCTGTTAAATGTACTGTAAACCCAAGTGTTCAGAATATAAATATGTATGTCTTAATGGTATTTCAAATTATTTATATTCTTTGAATCTTTGCAAATATTTTCACTCCACAACCACAAACTGCAGCTTAGTTTAGTGGGACAGCCAGCACAAGGTAAGGAGAAACCATAAAGTTGAAGAAAATTGATGTGCTAGTTTAAGATAATAATTTAGTTATAAAATGTCTGGAATATATTTCAGTTATTTAGTCCTATGTCTTAATTCTGTTTTTTTTTATTTGTATTTTTACAAATGCATGTCATTACCTTAGTCAGTTAAATAACATGCTGCTGTCATTTTGCACATCTCTCATGTTTCTTCCATTTACAAATATTAATTACTGTAAAAATGTCAATAGCAGTATATTGGGTATTTATTCTCCAGGTGTACAGTATTTACATTATTAAAACACTTTATAGTACAGTATTTCATTTCTTTATCTTTTAACTCTTCAATATTATGTTATTGTTATACATTTTTCCAAGGTCCACATTTGTCTGACGTTTTTTTCTATAATCTTTTTGCTGCTGTAAACACCAAAATTTCCCCATTGTGGGAGGATAAAGGAATTTTCTATTCTATTCTATTCTATTGTATTCTATTCTATTCATTACAAGGCATTATACAAAATAAAACAAATGAATTTCTTTGATCATAATGATCAAACAATCCAATTTACTATTCAAACAAGTTAATCTCTTCATTCAGATTGGGGGAAAGGGTTTCTATCTCTATAAAAAAAAAAGCTAATTGCACCCAGCTGTTAATATATAGCATTAAATTCTTCAAGATTAGTAAGTTGCAATGGTGGACATTTGCTTGCCTTGTGTTTTTGACCTTGCAAACTCTTGAAGAGTGAATGGCTATCTGCCACGACCCACTAGAGTCTTGATAATATAGCATAGGTACCCAAGATACACACAGAAACACTGATACATATATTTTTTTTAACTATGTAAAAGAAATGTAAAAAGGCTATAGTATTACTAGATTGTGTAGTAGCTGGACAAATGTGAGAAATTCAGTGAAACAGATAAGTTCTGAAACAGTTTTCAAGTTCATAGGGTGAAAGGGAACACATTTATTCTGCCACAGTATAAGCTAAGCCAATGGCTATGTCTAGAATTCAAATTACCCACTAAAAGTGTCTCATCTATGGAAGAATATAAAGTTATTACAAGCAGTACTACAGCCGATGCCACCTCCAGGAAAGTGTTTGGGTAAATACCAGGCCAGATGAAGAGGAAATAGAAAAGTTGCAATTTTAAATGCAAATAATGCAAACATTGGAGAATAATAAGATAATCTATCAGAGTGAGGAAAAGTAGCAGCATAACTATAGCAATGGCCTGGGATAACATGAGCCACATTAACGGTATATTGGAGGCTCATGAAAGCTCTTGCACGTGTTCAATAAGCGTTTCATCTCAGGAGTGGATACACGGTTGTGCATGTGCCTTTTTGTTTACATGGATAGGGCGATTCTTTTTAAGAATTCATGAAAATCCACCATTATACATTTAACTATAAGCTTTATCGAAAAGGAAAGTTTTATGTTGAGTACTAAAGGCAGATAGTGTGTATCCACCATACTCTAAAACGGAGCTGACTCCACAGGAAAAGAGCATAACTAAAAGATTTGTGTCCTGTTTATACAATCTAGAAACCACCAGCAACCCTGTGCTCTTATATGTTGAGAAATAACAGGCCTGAAACTGGTGGTAGAGTGGAGATAGATGAAGAGGGTTAGTCTGTAGACTGCTAGTTAGCTAGACAGTATGCTAAGCTTTACGGGGAGATCCAGTGGACTACGTGAGCTAATACTAGAGCTTCAATCAGGGACCTGGAAGATGGAAGTCCAGTTGGATAACACAGTTTGAGAAAACCTGTCCATGATGAGCAAGCATTGAGCGACAGTGGCAGAACCAGGCTCAACATGGTGGTCTTCTGCCGAACCGGTTTGATGAGGCAGGGAATGCAGTAAGAGTCCGGGAGAATGACACTCTGATGAAGCTTTAGCTATGATGGTGGAGGAGGGTCTGGAGGTGGGTTGAAACGATGTCATTTGAATGAAGTCACACACCGCATCCGCCGCCTGCGCACAGGAACAGACAGGTGCATATCAGAGGCTAAAAATAGGTCAAGAAAAACTGATCACCAAAGCAATATGATGATGATGCCGAAATTATTTCGTTGACGCTCCTTTTTTCCAATGACGATAACGAAAACTTGCAAGCTAAACAAGGATCTTTGATGAAGAAAACACTACAAGTCGATGAGACTAAATAAAAATGCTAGCAGGTTGTCTTTCAGAAATTTTAAATGCATCCTTGTGCTGTAATCTGTTTGAAAGATAAGCAGTATCAGCCGTGTTCCATAATGCCGTCCACCCGCTATGCAGCGCTGCACATTTTGCATGACTGTAGATTAAGCGTGGCAGCAGAGGCAGGGGTGAAAATAAGCTGGAATGGTCTGGTACTGTGTGCTGAACTCTCATAAACTCTGCTCTTCCAGCTGTGCTTGTGCAGATAAGCGTCTTTGCAGATGTAGCTCAGAGTCTGCGTTTTATAATGGTTCGCTCTCAGCAGTATTGCTCTTCCTGCCTTTGCTCCTTAATGAACTATATGGGGCTGATTTTCCCTTGCCAAGCGTAAAAAATCATTTTATTTAACAATCAAGATTTTATTTCTTCCAGCTCACAGGAGGTGTACAAAACATTATTTAATTTCTAAAAAAATAATCCCCAAATTACACCCAAAACAAATTGCACTCTGTTTATTTCTGTATAAAGACCCAGATGAAAAGATATATAGACCTTTTAATATTTCTCTCTCATAGTTATTGTTTCTATCTATTTGAATATTTCCACATTTTAATTAAAATATTGAAATGTAGGTCTGCATTGCCATGGCATTATAAGGCAATTATGTAGGTTCTCTGTGTATTCTTTTTTTTTATTATACCCCTATAAATTTAAAGCTACATTGACCCTGGAACAGTAGGAACCAAGGGGCAAATAATTAGAAAAAAGTTACAATTGCCAAACCAGAAAGAAGAATGCTGGTGCTTTGCTTTTTTGGTGTAATGAAGATTTTATTGATCTGTGCAGAATGCATAATTCATAGTAAATCAGGAAATGTTTGCTTTTGAATGCAAACCTTGTGTGTCTAAAACCATTCCTTTATTGTAATTTCTTTTAGCTTGTCTGTCTGCTTTATTAACCGATAAGATGTGTTGAACTAAATCTGCTATTCTCCACACTTTTGTGAGATACATTTGTATAAAACAGGGCATTAATTAATAAAAAAAAGTTTATTTGAATTCTATAAATCAAAGTCTTCTGCCCAGCAGCAATGATGAACCGCATAGCAGCATTCTGTACCCAGCAACTGTAGTATCTAGGCAAGAGCTTTCAGTTCAGTAAAAAATCTTTTTGTTATTCAAAAAATTGTAAAAGTTAGCTGTTTTTTGAAGTGCAACATAAAACTGACCAAAACTTGACAAAATTTTTTTTAGTATTTGTCGACTAAAACTGACTAAAAACTATCACATATAGTAATGACTAAAATGTGATAAAAATTATAAGTTTTCATCCTGAAGACTAAAAATAACCAAAATCTAAGATGGATGTCAAAAACAACACTGCACCAGACATGCTGACCAGAAAAAAAAGATCTAATCAGCATTATCGTCTTTTGTTGCAGTTAATCACACATGGGCCAGTGCAAAGATTTTCGTTTGTTTGTCTTTTTCCCAATGCAAATACCATGACAGCGTCTAAACATGCAATTTCTCCAATATCAAGACTAAGGGTGCATCTTAACAAATGAATGCAGACAAAAGTACATTTCAGAGGTATTGCACAACCTCTCAACTACATTTGCACATTCACTCTGTATGGCCATTTACACTGGACTTTGTGTAGGTGGACGGACATGCCTTTTAGGATGTGTGTGTGCTTTAGCGGAAACAAGTGTGTGTGTAATGTCACCAGATGACGTTTGTTTGCAGTCCCCCCTATATCATCTCGTCCAGATGTGAGCCCTGTTTTACAGACAACTCGCCTCCAGAGAAGACTGTCACTTCTTGGATCTGTACATCCAGCAAACACAGTAGGTACTTCTGCTTTTGTTAAAGAAGTGGTCACTCTCTCCTTTCAAGCATATTTCAGATGCATTTTCATAAATAAATCTGTATCTTTTTGGAGGTTTAACTATATGGTTTATGTTTCCTCTCTTCTTGTTTCAGAGATGAATACAAAATTGATCCTTGCACTGGTCTTTGCTCTTCAGGGTAAGGCAACATAAAAAAAAGCTATCTGCCTCATTAGGAATAACATAGATGCAAAGTAAGGCTTTTATTTACCAAAGAACTAGAGATATTGATTTGAAGTGTCACACTTAAACGTTTTTTTGGCTATGCAAAACAGTACTGAGACATTTATCTGAAAGGTTTTCTAATGCAAAATGTAGGATTTATTTAGACAGGATCATATGCTGAATTGTAGCTAAACTCATCTCTCTTTATTTTTAGTCTCATTGAGCCTGAGTGAGGTCCATCAACCAAGCCAGGAACTGGTCGAAAAGTATGAGGCCATGAAAGCA